AAAAAAAAAAAAAAAAAAAAGGTCACCTGGAAAGCCATTGCCACCTCCTAGTCTGAGCCTGACCTCTCTGCTGCCCTGGCATCACAAAATGACACAGCACAGTGGGAAGCAAGCGAGCCTCAGGTGCCACACCTGTGACACAGCGACCCCAGACCAGCGCTGCCGAGCTGTGTGATGGCGAGTTTTCTCATCTGCTCTGTGGAAGGTCTCCTGAGTTTGGATCTCAGTCCTGCAACTTGCGAGCTGTACTTAACCGCGCAATTCCTCACCTGTAAAACTGGCAGAACCCCAGTACCAACCTCATGTAACTACTAGTGGGCTTGTGTTTGCAAGTAGTCAAAACAGCACCCAAGGCATAGCAAGCTCTTTCTGTCAGGAAGTGAGCACCGCACTTAGCACGCATTCCACGGTGCCACCATTGTCTCTCTCCCAGCACTAAGCCCTCTATACTGCAATCTCGGACTTGTCACATCCCAAGCTGGGACTCCAGTGCATGCCTGGTAGAAGACAGGCTACAAATGGCCATTAGGCACAGCTGGGGGTGAGGGTCAGTGCTTGGCCTGTGCAGATAAAATAGGAGTTGGTAGACAAGCTCAGGAAGATTTTGTTCCCAAGTGAAAATATATCTCACGTTCTGAGTAGCCATCACACACACTCACAGATATTCTAGAACACAAACCAGCCTTACATCGAAGCCTGCTTAAACCCATCCTGTGTTTAATTTGAGAATTGCCTTTACATTTTTTATTCTACTCCCTTTCCATCTTTTTTTTTTTTTTTTTTTTGAGACAGGGTCTCACTATGTAGTTGAGACTGACCTGGAACTCACTATGTAGCCCAGGCTGGTCTCGAACTCACAGCAATCCTCCAGCCTCAGCCTCCCGAGTGCTGGGATTACAGGCGTGCGCCACCAGACCCGGCTCCTTTTCCATCTTTCTACTCAGGAGACATTTTGGTAGAATTTGTCCAGAACGGCATGGCTGTGCCCTCTATAGCCACAGGAGGGCAGTGTCTGAATGTCGCAGAAGAAAGGGTCGGGGTTGGTTCTTGCGCCGCACACCGTGTGTGCAGAAGCTGGGCTGGAAAGTTGAGACAGATGTTAAGGAAATGCTTCCCCGCCGAGGTTTTTCATGAGTGTTATTAACCGGGGCAACTTCACATGCAGGAAGCGATGGTGCTTTGACTGATATTTGTTATCTCAAACTTGGGGTAGATAGGACTCCGGGGCAAGGAGAAGCCACGACAATCATTGTGCATCTCACTGGGTAGCCGGGCTGCATGGAAAACGAGGGCCCTCTGTCTGGATCTCGGGGGGCACCGCATCAAATCTACTTGGTGCTCCGCAGGCCCTTCCTGTGACCTGAGACTCACTTCCGGTCTAGTCCCGGATCTCCCTTCCAGTCTCTCCTTGCCCTTTAATTGTACCAGTGCGTGTTTGCGGCACACGACGGTGACACTGTGGGGAATCGATCCATGCACGCAACACATTTTAATTCTCTTTGTGTCCCCTTCCTCGTCCCTCCTCTTCTCCCTCCATCTCTTGGTCCCCTTCTCATTTGCGAAAGATCTGTCTCCCTGTTTCCTACGATCTTCTGTTTCTACCCTCAGTTTTAACACGTGGATCCACCTATTATTCAGAACCCATCCGGACGCCATGCTGCTCAGTTCTCCCCTGCAAGCCAACAAACCCGCGGAGTGCGGGTGGCAGCGCAGGCCCGGGGACCTGCCGTCCTGAAACGGCGTGATGGCTGTGACCAGAAACTCAAAATACACAGAACACCGCCGTAAAGAGGCATTTTGGACTCTTCGGAGCACGCAGCGCAATGATGCGCTGAGATATATTAGATTTTAAACTTTGATTCATTTCATTTCTCTCCCCCGCCAGTACGGGGGATTGAACTCCAGGCCTCGTGCATGCTAAGCAAGTGCTCCACTGCAGAGCCGGACCTCAAGCATTTAAAAATTTTTATTTATCTTTGAAAAATTAAAAAAATTTAAAAAAATTTTAAGAAACCTTAACAACATCTATATGCGGGTTTGAAGCCCTGTACACACACTGATGTCGTTAAAACAAGGATGAGTGATTCGTTAATTCATGAGTTGTATCTGTTGTTAAACATTATTCTCTGCAACTGTGTGACTGCAGGTGCATTTTTTTTTTCCATCTCTGAGTGGCTCAGGGTTCTAACTGCAAAATGATGATGAGGACAGTTTTTTTCCCCATTTATTTACTAGCCAACAAATGACCATTAATAGCTAGAATATGCCCTAGTCTGTCTGAATTTCACGTGGCTCGCGTTTCATCTGTGACCTGAGCTGAGTTAACCATTCAGTGTGGCAATAGCGTAAGCAGGACATCTTGCATTGAATCAAGAAGTGTTCAGTTACCTTTTACACAGGTAATGATG